CACTGATAGCACAGCTAAGTACCTAATCACTCTGGCAAGGGCTATGGAAGTGGTTACTGTGATAGAAGTAGGAAGCACCTGTGGTGAGTGCATGATCAGGACTGGAGTACTGAATGTATATATAAGGAAGCAATACTTCCGCAGGTAGATAGAGAATTAACCATCTCACTGCTGTCCATTCCAACGCATCTTCTCACTACAGCCACATCAATTATATCCGCACATCCATAATCATCTGCATCCATTTCAGGTATTCCTCTGTCCCCTCATGACCTTGTTATCACAACATTTCCTTCGTATTTAACCTAATTGGTACAATGATCAGCTGCATAACATTTGTGCATTTTTGCTACTAGACTTTATAACTTATTTACAAGAGTTCAAAGGTTTTCGAATTACAAATTAGAGCCAAAGTCTTATCCTAACCTTGGAACTGAACTTTTAGCAGGAATATTTTCAGGCCTTAATATCTGGTCGGTCCCTTATCCGCATCTATGACAGGCTGAAATCTTGATGGTATCCTCTGAATGAGTCTCACAATGTGACGGCTTGTAAGCCGGTAATTACCTGTAGCCTACGCTGTCAAACGCAGGCTTAGCATGAAACTAGTCAGGGTCTATTCTTGGAAGCAGGGTCTTACAACTTGGCAAACACCTCTAAGAATAGGGCACGAGATGGGATACGGATATACAGATAGAAAACTGTGTTATTGGCTGGGATAATAATCATGTATAAAGTAACTTTTATTATCCTCTTCAATCTGTAGTTCACCATAGATTGAAAATAAACTACCTCTGATCATAAGGTTGCTCAAGTGCCTATGCTTAGACTGTGACACACAAGATCTTTGGAAGACACGGAATCCCATGCCTCCTTCATGATCTTGGGTAGACTATCTTGAGTTCGCTGCTTTCCGCTACCCAGATTCAGATGATGATGCTGGATGTAATCCTCCATCTTATTCCAAACAGCTTCAATCGGTTTAAGATCAGGCGAGTTGGCCGGCCAGAAAATTGGTTGAGTGAGCCTCTGGCTCTGCCTTCCAAAGTATCTGCTGCTGTGTGGGCAGAAACATTATCCTGCATTACTGTGACGGCTGGTTCCTGTAGCCTATGTTGGCTAATATAGGCTTGGTCTGATTTAGGGTGCGCACAATTGATCGATCTAATATCGGAGCATCGGAATCTGCATAGCATCCGATTCAACAGTGCAGCTCAACATGGCACCACTTGTCAGTGAGAAGCTTTTGGCTGGGAATATACAAGTTCGGACACAACCTCCTCAATTGATAGTGCAATGACGTTGTAGAACATGAGACTCTTTTGTATATATACATGTGTAGATACATACTGTTGTAGTTCTCTCCTTAGAATTATTATCTACTACCATCAACCACATAGTTGCTACAGCACCTGTCCTAGAATCCGTGACAATTACGGAAAGCCAAGGTCTCATCGAGACCATTCCATCGCTAATAGGAACTATTTTCTCGCAATATTTTTGGGAGTTAACAGATCCCTACTCCTTCTCTCAAAATAATCAGAGGCCTTTTTCTGGCCCTGCAAAGCAACCCCAGAACATCCATCCGACCCTATTCTTCGATTTTTCTCCAACACAATCAGCGTTGTATTCTTGGGAAGTCTAGCTCATAATGTTAGAGCATCAAATTACCATCCTCTCATTGAGGAATGTACGAACACTTCTTGTCACCCATTCTCTAGAATATCTTCCATCCTCTACCCAAGTTTTGTCTGTCCATAAAACTGACTTCCAGTCTTCATATTGTCAGGGGAAGCGTACTGCTTGTGGTGAATTATAAGTTATATTTAATCTAAAGAGAGAAGACTCTTATTGCTACATAGAAATTACAAAGAGTACGGAATTCCGGATTAACTTTATGCCGAGTTTAGACCAATTAGAGTGCATCATTGGGAAGAGACGAGCGCCTAGATATCTACAGGCCACGACTGTCACACATATGTCCAATTGAAATGAGCTTTGGCCCATTCTCTGCGTGTCTTCATAGTTTTCTGAGATACTGGAGGCTTTAGACGAGCCACAAGTCGCTGATATCCTTTTTTTTAAGTTCTCTTTGTATTACCCGCTCGCTAACACCAAGATGTCTAAAGGGACCAGAGGCGAGTTTCAGAAATGTTTTGCGGCGGTTTCCAGGTGAAGACTCAACGTAGGATATAATGTGATCAACATCATCTGCTTTCAGCCTTGAGGATATTCTTTTTCTCTTTTTGGGGGAGACAGTTCTGCGGCGCAGTGAATAACTGACTTGTCCCCGAGAAAAGCCTTGTTGCGCGGCAATCTGCGTCTGGTTTTTGCCAGATTCATGAAGCCCATAAATCTTAATTTTTTTTTTAATTTATATTTGTTCACATCTAATTTTTCCACTTACTAAAATTTTTTGATCTCTGGATAATTGTTTGATTCGAGGTGTTGAAGGTGGGGTTTGAGATGGATTCATCTGTAAAATAAGGTTATTATTGAGTAAAGCCATGTGTCTTCTGAATAAATAACTTTGTATTTGAGAAATCTAATTCTTATTGTAACTCAAGCACAAGGTGAGAAGAGCTGTGTAATTTTTTAGCGGTTGGCGCTCATCAAAGCAATGGGAAAGAACTAGAGAGCTGGTTGGATTTGCATAAAACTGAGGGTGACATGAAATCAAATTGTGCCCTTGGTTTAGGCCTGAAAATACAGGATAAGAATTATGTACCCTGTCGAAATTGGCGATAACAGGGTGCAACCTCTGTAGCGCATATGCGCCACATTTAAATCCACTAAAAACCTTGAAATTGTGGCAACATCGTAGATAGGTTTATAGCCACCTACATGGGCCTAAAGGGCGCCAAACCAGGATAATGAACACAATTCAAATCAAAACCCAGTTTGAAGTTTTACTTTTTATATCCCAGAGGGACTGTAGGAAAAGTGACAGGGGACCTTGCCAGATCCATTGGTCCTTGACCTAATGTGGATAAAAAGCTTTGGCTCAGGGCCCATTTGTAATAAAATAAAATATAAATTGCATTTATATATCTCAAGTATTGAGCTTCACGGAAATGTGCTTTCAATTTACCATCACTTCCGCTTCAGACCTAATCTTTTTAATCTATGATCCTCTATCTATCCCCATGTGATACAACCTCAACCATTCGACTAAATTGAAAATATTACAATCACAAAATACTCAGTATTACATTCATGGCTCGATCTCTTTCATGATATGTATCTATTGTGCCGTTTGATGATCTGTTTTTTCTATTTCTAGAGACCCTTATTTTTTGCCCGAAATGAAAGAATCATCTGAGTGTTGTTCAAGTTCTTAGGCGGATATCCAAGTTAAGATCTTCACTTTTCAACTTAGAGGACTTTCCTTTGTTACGAAAAGCGACTGATCCCAATAGACTGGATCCTGATTGATGTGATAATATTGCTTGGACCCAGCTCATATTCCGAAGTATTTAACATGCAATTCCTCATCAATTTAAAATTCATCAAGTAGTGTCTAAATCAGCAGGTTCAAGGATCAATCAAGCTTGATCTGAAAATTTATAAGCTACAAGCAATTTCGTCTGGAGGTGTTACTTACTAAACAATGTTGGTGGGGATTTCAGAGTCGTTTCATGATTTGTGGTGCTATATGACATTACCATTAACTACCTTATCTTCATATGCTGAACGAAGAGTATTCATTAAGTTCATTGATCATAGAAACTTGCTTGAATTTGTCGAAAGTGCCCAATTTTTATACCCAGAAGGCAAATTGTAAGCCATTCAATCTGTCACAGTTTGACTGTTGTATGAGCTTAGGGTGGATACCTAAGCGTAATACTTAGATTGTTTACAATAAGGTCACACGAGGAGGGGAAGATGGAACTTGACAAAACAATAATACTAATCAGGACGCTAGATTGCTGTTACAACTAAGTAACACCCAACGATACGTGGCTAGTTAGCGAGTATGATGTCTGGAGGAAAGCCATCACTTAGTAGATACACGCAGCGGATCAGTCATTATAAGTACCTGTTTGTTGTAGCTAGAGTTCTCTTCTCTCCTCATATAGTTTCATAAATCGACTTATTCATCACCAACTCGGTTTCTGTCACACAATCTGAGACCAGGATGTTCTTACACGCGAGCTGGGACTTCATGGTGGACATTGCAAATGTGAATAGAGTAACTGCTGTACTGAGGACAATAGATGACGTAGCTTGTGCCAAGTCCGATGAGTACAATGGTTGCGTCACAGTACTTCAAAGGATCTGAATGTAATACAAATCACCTACTCTGTAACTAGAAAACGAAACAGCAGATAGTATCATTTCGGATTGGACGAGTATCATACAGCTGGCTGCCTGATGGATAATTGAGCGGTGAAGAAATCGCTGATTCGAGATAGCTGACTGCTAACTTCAAGTTCAGGAGCCTTAGAGCCAGTCGTTTTCCATTTGGTTCAAACTACAAGGCTAGCTTCGAAGTTTTATCATTTGTCGGATTTCTTATCAGATTTGCTGTCATAAATGCCACGAAAATCGAACCACAAAGGTTTATCTGCATTCTAGACGCTACCTACCAACCGTTGTAGTGGATCACGACGTCTACATCTCTATCACACGAATGTCGCGCATTGCTGCGCAACAACCCCGTCAATAGAATTTCATTTCGCCCTGCGCATTATTTCAACAGCAGTATTCCAAACACTCGTTTATGGTTCTGATTTTACATCTGTGCCGAGGATTCTAGCAGTCGTCTATTGCTGAGCATTTTGCCAAGGATAAAAGACCTGGATGCAGGTAGGGAATGTCCTGGTATCATTGACAGGATATGTTATTTCTAGGTATAAAACAACCACGCCTGCCTCTATTTATCAATCATCAACCGGTTCTCCTCGCACTCTTCACAACTTTACCACAACTTCATTTCCGTCCTCCTCAAGTTCCCAATATATTCAGTATCAAGCAACAAGATGTCTACCTGAATCTATGACTCGGCGCATTTCACAGCAAATCCATTGACCAATATCATTTCAAACTTCAAGATTCTTTGCGCCTTTTACAACTTCGACATTTCACAACTAATACTTAAAGAGAATGCTGACCTGCAATCTATAAGCGCACCTATGAAAAATCTGCTGACTTCTCTTTCTTATTACGCTCAAAATAGCGCCGTACTGTCATCAGAAAATGCAGACATAGATATCCGCCTTAGTTCTATTCAGAAACAACTAGCTTTACATAGTATTCAATTGACTTCTTCCATTCCATTAATAAATTCCATAACATCTAATGCTACAGACATCGAAGTATGGAATGAAGTGTCCGAACTTGTTGACAACCACGAGCCAATCCAATTGCCGGACACCAATCTTCCTTCTGCCAAGCAAGGTGATGCGCGTCACAGGCGGTGTACAGCCCCATACAAAGGTGCCGACTGGATCACGGAAACGTTGAAAGAAGCGCGTCGTACTGAGCTGGCCGGTACTATTTTCGAAAATGTTGGCAGATTTTACGAAAAGTATTTTGTGGGAACAACCTGGGCCGGCCAGTGTAAGGAAATCGCCAAGCGCTATGAGAAAAGGCAAGACAAATCGACGTTCAAGTTTCACAAGGATCCCACAGAGAAGAATTTCTGGCAATGGATAAAGGAAGTCCAAGCTGAGTTCATCGAGCCACACAAGCCCGATGAGTCAGGTGAAAGTAAGGACAACTTCCCCCTGCGAGCCGATACATTTCATACGACTGGACCCAAGCAGATCAAAGGAGGACTAGCCATACGACAGATTGATATCTTCATCAAGAGTCGAGAAAAAGCTGCAAAGGCCCATGATTGGCGGGATATCCTTGTTTTGGGAGAGCTGACTGAGCTTTCTTCTGCACACTGGGTCGACAAGTTTCTTCAGCTCTCGGTCTACATGCGGGAAATATTTTCGGCACAGCCATTGCGGCAATTTGCGCACGGGTTTCTCATGTTCGGGACGCAATTGCAGCTGTGGGTCTACCATCTATAGGGCCCGTATTCAGCTGAATACATCAAAGTCGGGGAGAGACCCGAGAGGCTAGTCTATGTCCTTGCGGCTTACATGCTTATGAGCGACAAAGAGCACGGCCTTGACTCGATCATCCAGCGCGAGAAAGGTAGGACAAGTGTCACCATCCGTGATGCGAACACGAACAAGGAGAAGAAGATCTATTTCCGGTCAAAGCCGCTGACCAGACAAATGGCAATCGTCTCTCGCGGTACGACGGTGTACATATCCTCCGACGCAAAGTTTGTGGTCAAGATCTCGTGGAGAGTAGTCGTGCAACTGTCAGAAGTTGAACTTTTGATGAGAGCACGCAACTTGAGGGGAGTGGCAACACTAATTGGATCACGGAATCACGTCAAGATTAGCGACCTTCGAAGCGGGCTTAATTTTACGGAAGAGATGAACAGAGATATCCATCCTCTGGAGATGAAGATGACAACCGCTGGCAACTCTCTACAACCAGGATCGTCTAATCCGGATGGAAACGTCGAGTTAAGCAAGGGTGTCAAACATGATAGCGAATTGGTTGCCGGTAGAGCCAACAAAAAATTGCGGAGAAGCGAAAGATCGTGTGTCTCGAGTATTACGAGGCAAGCTCTTTACAATGCTTCAAAGGCGCGTGTACGCAAAAATGGCAAGTCGACTGGCTCGCGAAAGAAACCTGTGCCGAAAACTGTTCCCAATCCTATGACCCAAGATGTGACTCCAGAAACCCCTTCAGTTCCAATAAACTTGCCTGCCGAAAGTAGCTACAGTGTCGCTGAGGGATCGAACTCGTCTTTAGGCAAACGGCCCAGGAATGCAGATGAGACTGATTTCGAAGTCCAGACGGTATCAGAGCCTGATCTGAAGAGACTTTGCATTTCGAGCAATGTTGGGGAGTCTTTATCGGAAGCCGTAGCTGAACCTGAGTCCAATCAGGTCACTAACAATCCAAGTGCTCCAGCTTAACGGGCCATTAATAATGCCGATTCGGTTCCTGCGGTCAGTAATGCAGATTTAATCATGGAAGACAACTCAACGGTCTACTGGAATCTTTGGGAAACAGTCATTGCCGCCAAACCCTTCGGTCGAGCTATTGACTAGAAGACAACACCCGTGGAAATGATCTGCGGCCTACGAGATGCAATAAAGTGTCATCAATCATTGTATATGGAGACTAAGATATTGCACCGCAATATCTCGACTAATAACATCATATTGACTGACCCGCAGCAGAACAATGGTTGTCACGGGGTTTTAATAGATTTGGACCTGGCAATATTGCTAACAGATGATAACTGTTCCGAAAGCTCGAAAACTCTGACTGGCACAATGGAGCTTATGGCTGTTGGACTCTTGTATCAGTACGCATATCAAACCAAGAATGGGGGATTCAATACTTATTGACATGATCTGGAGTCATTTTTCTTTGTCCTCATATCAGTTTGCATACAATTTGGGTGGGGGTCGGAAATATCACCGCATCTCGGCATGTTGAGAAAATGGTACAAAGGAGAAGCAGTGGACATGTATTATAGCAAATTGGGGGCTATTTCTATTGCAAGCTTTAAAACAAACATGCTGGATGCATTTTCACCAAGGTTTGAATGCTTGAAAGTTGTAACGGCTACAAAGCCGGTATTTCCTGTAGCCAGTACTGGCAAGTACTGGCGTACAACTACCGGGGGGTGGGCCGGCGCAATAGCCTTGCAGAACATACCAGAATCATTGCCGAAGCTACTAGGAACCATATTCTCAGAGTTGCAACTGGAATTATCTAGAAATGAACTGACATTAGATGGAAGGGCTTGGAATGTAGTAATCTGTATAAATACCGGGCTAAGTATCTATAACTTAGTTCTACATAGTTGAATTGTTAATATGCCATCATCTATACAAATGCTCCCTGCTTTCTATAGTTGATCTATAGCAAAAGGACTAGCTTCAACGTTGCAGAAGATCTTGTTCGAAAGAAAGAATTCCCTATGGTTAGAGACCGACCCGCGTCCGGAAAACTTATATACTGCGATATTAAAGGCTTTCGATTACGAAATTGTGAAGATGAAATGTAAGTCAACTTTCCGAATGATGCATTTTTCCCATTTAGGAGAAGAATGATTCACTGACACATAATAATTTTAATAGCAAAATGATGTGGACCTTTTTGGTAAGGATAGATGATGTAGTGATATTAGAGTAGTTTTGAGTTAAGGTGCTAATAGCAACAATAGATATTGTGACTCTTATTCTGTATGCCAGAGGACAAGACAATGATGTTATATACACAATTCGTTGCGTTCTTGCTATAAGTGCGAACGAATTTACATGCAAGACTCGACTTGCTAACCCGAACTCGCAGATTATATTTGAGAAAGATTGTATGTCACGGTTTCGTGGGACAAGTGCTGGGGCAACTATGTGGTCGATGGTAGTAAATAATAATTTTAAGGAGAGAACTTCCACTCCATCTATCTATTCATTTATATACGTGAAAGCCTCCTCGCCACCAAGGCTAATCCCTCTCCTGTTCCTATGCTATGGGACTCCCCTAGTGTTCTGACTATGCCTGTAATATAGCACTATCGCGTTATGGTCCGGAAGGATTGTACTCGGTCTCGTATATTCCCAGTCAGTGTAAGCCTATCAACATGTGGTGCAGTGCCGTACTGCCGAGTCCGATGCCATGTGAATACCATGCAAATGCCGACGCAAAAGTACTGTATTGGGTGGCGTCGCACATTAGCGCATTGGTAGCCATTAATAACGCCACTCGAATCAGGCCTAAGTTGACTAACATAGGCTACAGGGACCAATCGGCTTACCAGCTGTTACATTTTACAACTCAAGAGATCAGCTAAAAGTTATTTATCAAGATACCAGAAGGTGAAGATAAGGGAAGATCTGTTCTGGCTCCCATTTCTATGAAAACGACATCACGACAAATGTCACTAGATGCCGGGAATAGATAAATACCGTAACGGAGAGATTGTAAAATATTGAAATATAACTGTGTAATTGAGAATTGTAACCAGTGTAACATAATTCCCGTCCGAATTATGCCAGTAGTCACACTGCCAAAATTCTGCTTTAATATCTTTCAAAAGTAGATGAAGAGTAGATGAATAGAAAAATAAAGTAAATAAGCGAGTACATCAATCTTACATTCCTATTGACGATGAAGATGACTTCCATCATAGTACTATCGGAATCTTTAAGTGGTATTTGTATGCTAGCTTTCTTTAGCAGTCATAATGATTGGTGGTTAGCAAGTATCTTTTTTCTCTTTATTTCTTTCCAAACTCGATGGACCATTCTCATCACCCATCAGTGGTGTCTCCTACGAACCTCTAGCTCTCACTATAGAGTCTGAAGGGCCGAGATTGAGTGACAAAGCCCTCACTTCAATGAGGATTCACTATTGTTCTCGCCGTCTATATCATCTTCATCTCTTAGAATATCCCCAACACCATTTTCATGAAGCTAAATACAATCTTATCAGATGTTAGGGTCGAATTCCTACTAATCACCAACCCTTGATCGTGGAGGAAAAGCCATCCCAAGAGTTTCCGGAGCGTACCCAGTACTAGATTTGGCATGAGTGTGTAAAGGTCGGAAGATAGATTTTATTCATGACCTATCTAGATCTATGTACAAAAGAAAATCTTAAACTGAAGAGGAAATTAACTTGGGAAACCCACTTCTTGGATAATCTGACTTTATGCCAAGGTTTTGAGGTATGAAAATGAAATGAATGATATGGGGAACAAGATGTGGGGGATGCCTTTTGTCAAGGTGCATAGCTGCTAGGCTTCCCTGCTATCTGTCAAAGCTCAGCCCTATAACCATTTAGCCATCAGACCGTCGGATCATTCTACCATTAGGATGTAGGATGTTAGGGTCTCCAATCATTCTTCAGTCCTATCTCGTACTAATCGTCCAATCTTCGAATGACTTAGGCTAATGCCTGAGTTGTGCCAGACTCTAGCCTACGACAGGGTAGATTGGATCAAGAAGGCCTCATCAGTTTTGTGGAAAGGAAATGTAGACGAATATGTGCACTCCATATGACCCTGGTATCTAAGTCTCGCCTGGCTGGGGACGCAGGATTTTTGAGACTTTTCCTGGGCACGCAGTCCCCATTGCTACCATTTTATTTATTTTGGGTCGAAGGTTCCGTGGAAAAGGTGGTTGAATACCACGGGTAAACACTTAGCTGAATGGCTATTCATCACGGGCAATATATCAATGATCTTACAAGTAACAAAATAGGATAGTAGCACTGTAAAAGATGCGGCCTGGTCAGAGAGGGGCCAAATATGCTTGATAGTCATAGATTCAAGTAGTACAATAGTCAAGCCTTTTTCTCTTCCGCAGAATAGAAGTCACTTTTGTCTTGGACCCCCGAATGTCGTTGTCGAACATGGAATGGTGCACAATGTTGCGATTGATGACATAGCTGCCCCTGCATCTGATTAGTCTGGATCTCAGAGGCGCATATTATGATTGGTGTATGAATTTTGTTTTATTTATCTTTATTTAACGTCTGGCGGATCACGCGTCAAGCGAGTAACCCTATTAAGTCCCTACTGAGACAAAAGACGCGATTGGTGTATGAATGAGTGAAGGTTTATTCGTGACCGGCACAAACTCTGCACTCAAAGCGCATGACACGGAGAAGGCGAGTCCTTCCCCGACGACTGTGTACCACGATAACTCAATTTGATATTTGGACTACTCATGTAGTGGGTGCATTCAATGATACCACTAGAGACCTTTGTGCTAGGTACGATCACCCTTCCCTTAAGCTTTTTTTTTTAATTCATAATGTATTCAGCTATCTTGCTATGACGCATTATTTAAATAATTTTATCAATAGAGCTCCTCACCGAAATCTAATCTTTAAAATTACTTGTTAATTTCCCATTGAGGCTACCTATTCCCGCTTCCTTTGTGTGCTGCCATGTACTTTTATATGTCCAGCTATTTTAATGGAGCTTTCTTTCCTTTCTTTGTTCGAAATAAGCTGGCAAGTATTCTTGGCTCTATGCCCTGAAAACATCTTATGCGTTGATCTCTCAATTTGGGACAGTGTAACAACAGGTGTTACAAATTCTGCCTTTCTCTCCCACAAAAGTTAAACGCAGTGTCTTGAACCTTCCCTCCGTCGATAATATCAACAAAGGGAAAACAGAAAAAAACTTTTGGCTCCCCTAACATACCTTTGTCATTTTGTATATAACCACCGCGCGAGATATGGCCTCACAGTCCCCTCTTTATCGAGTGAGGTAGGTGTCCAGGCTACCCAGATTTTAATTCGAGGAGATGAGGACTAGAAGGCGGACCACAATACTTTCTATCATCGCCTGTTGCAAAAGTGTCGGTAGCACTATCCGAAATCGTTGTCTCACCGCTCACAAGTGCCCCAAAGTCGAAAACACTCGAAAAATGAGAGTCCTAGTATACCAATTTGTGACCTATTCTCTCGTCCGTCCCACGTCCCAGCTGCCTGTCCTCCCTCAAGATGTGATGCCCCATCAGAGCAACGAACCTCCCATCGACCAAGATCCGAGCTTTGTATATTATGACTTAGTTTCCTCCTTGCGGGTATACGTAGCCTAGTAAATTTGTTGTGGGGAATGGTCGATTTTTTATGAGGCAAATGCCCGGTTGCAAAAAGAGTAACGCTTTTATCAGAAGTGAAGGCGAGGTGGTGTAGTGAGGTTGGGGTAGAGGACCCGAGTGAGAATGACAGGTCAAACATTTGTCAAGAATTCGTAGATTTTAGTTATGCTCGAGGTTGCTTTTGACTTCGATTTGGATACGATTTTTCTTGGCTATTCTAATCATACAGATCGTACTGAGCGATTACACTGGCACCATTGGAAGGTAAAGAATTCGTCTTTGCCGGCACTGACTGGTTGTTACGTCGTGCTGTGGGGTAGATCGAGATCGCCGTTCGCTGAGGGTATGGAAAGGTCAAGTGATGAATACTGTAGATATGGAAAGTCGACGAAGTACTATGGCTAGAAGGAAGCAGATTTGCGAGAGGAATACTGTAATAATATTATAGGATTGTGAAGCTGGAGAACTACTTTGTTGTAGCTCCAGCTTCCTTAAGTACAAATAACTATCTAGCATAATTCAACTAAGACTGTTGTAATTTCCTATCATAACTCAAACTGTGACCTCAACCATATCAATTCCAGTTGGCGCATTATCTAGTCTCGCCATATAAATGCAGGTATTGAGGGTGAGCCGAAAAACCTGTTTCGTGAATTTTATCCTCAGGCATTCTGCTTAGACTCTAGTTCAAGAATGTCTCGCCATGACACTAGTATTGCGTTTCGTCCCACCATATATTCAGCTTTTACTCCTCAATAATCCACGAAGTAGGACTCGATTGATTCATGGACTACTTTCATGATCATAGTCTGCGCAAGGGAGCAAGGGCTTCATAGATCAGACCCAGTAGCTACCTATTTTTTTTTTTTGCATCAAATTTTAATTGCGTATGCAGCTATCTAGCTATGAGACAATATCAAAGGGAAGTACAGAAAGGATGACTCAATTTACAAGAGGAGCACTCATGCCTCAGATTTCATTTGCAAGTACCACTGCGAAGTTATGGCGGCTTTTTCTTCACCCCAAGTCAACCCTCATCCATGAATACCCACCCAGGGGAACGTCTCAAAAACTCTGAGTTATCCAGACATGCCTGTCATCCATCAACTTTTATCCGCGCGAAATGTAATCTGAGATGTCTCCTTCCCAAGTGGTGTAGGTGCCCAGGCTACTCAAACCATACCAGAGAACATCACCAGGAGGCGGATCACTAGACCTTCCATCGTTTGCTTGTTTTTATAGTGTCAGCTGCACTCTCGCAAGCAAAGTCTTGGCGCGCACAAAGCTCAATTCGTAAAACTCTTGCCAAAATTCGAAATTTCACGCCCGTCGAATATGATCCCTCTTTTGCATCTTCTTGTAAACTTGTCCTGATCCCTCTCACTTCCATCTCAAAGAGCTATCTCCCAGATTTGTACTCCACGCTTTGCTTCCTCCGTCGGGTATAAATATCCGCGTGGGCGTGTATTTGGTGACCGGCTGAGGCCAGAAAAAGTCGACGAGAGGTATGCTCATTGAAACAAGGATGTACTAGGTCTTACTTGTAGACTTGATGAAGCCTAGTTGAGAATCGGACTCTTTGGAAGTGAAAGATTGACATGGTGGAGTAATTTGAGTTTTTGCCTCGTGGGCCAACTTCTTTGATATTGCGAAATTTGACTGAACTTGGCTCTGGGAGAATATTTCACTCTCAGGTTCGTAGAGGACACCGCGTACAGGTGTTCAGTCTTGACCTCCCAGTAGCTACCTAGCCTGGCGATATCAATGCACTACAAAAATGTGTAGCGTGCTGTAAAGCTGGAGCTTAAGGATCAAATAAATTCGCTAAGTAGTACATGAGTACATCAGAATCTTAACAGGCATGTCTGCAGAGCAATTTGGACATTTATCTGCTATCATAAGTTATTTTATTTTCATTTATAAGTCTATGAGTGTACGGGACGCGCAGCGGACATGTATATAATCAGCTGCTCTAACTCTTTCGGAAGACCACGCGTTTTTCCTTAGATATCCATATATTTCCAGAGAGTCGAAATACATTCGCTCACCCACCAGAATACTTATTCCGCATTTTTCGTTTTGCTTATTGTCCTGCCAAAATCTTATCCATCTATTCTCATATTTTAAAACAACTAAAAGTTGAAGTTTTCCAAAAATGTACTTGTCTAGCAGTATTATCTACGGCAAGAGTGGGTCACAAATATTTGGGAATTATTCATTACCTTAGAATAGTCTGCGTGTTCTATGAGCTGATTTGAGATTTTGAGATTGGTAGTAATTTCATCCTTTGAGTCTCTGGCCCAATCCCTCTATTCTACCGCACATAGCCCTGTTTTCAGCTTCGCGATCTCTGCCATCCTCTCCTTGGATTGCACATTTTTTCACTACGCCATTCTCATCTATGAGTACCAGTCCTATCCGTCCGTCCATCCATTCTATGTACAGCTGCGTTGCTTCAGCGTTTGTAGCTGTTATGTCTTTAAGGGTATGAAGATGGATTGTTTCCTTTAGGTTCCCTGTCTTTCTGGGCGTAAATTCTGTACGAAGTGTTTCGATGGCTAATAGACGGTTGTGATATGCGATGATAGCACGTCGAAGAGCACGAGAGAAAAGGAGTAATGATTTTCCGGGCGCTAAGTATTTTAATTGAACGCTATTAGCTAGTGTATCTCTATCCTGTGACATATACCGCCTGAACAGACTATCGATTGGAATTGCTGGCGGCAGCGTGTGTCGATGGATTCTTATGAGTTTTTCTTCCCCATTTCGAGCTTGGTTTAACATTACATAGTAAGGCCGAACATACTTTCCTCGGTTGCTCACGTCAAATCGTAGAGCTAATAAGCGTCCATTATCAATGGCGTAAGGGTCGGGATCTTGGATTTCAAAAGTTGTGATTGTTGCACACAGGCGATAGAGGTTAGATTGGTTGTGATTGTACTGGGCTTCTGCGGCAGAAATTATAGGCGCAACGTCTAAGTCTGCCACCGACTCATTTTGAGCGTGGAAATTACTGAGTGCCAAGCGAGTATGTTGACAAGATAAAATGGTAGATACGTATAGGGAGCGTTCGGCTTTCAGAGTTGATACTATCAATAGTCAGGATTGTAGAAGAGCTTCGGATAGGTTATACTTTGAGATTGGAGTGATTCTATTTCTTCATCCAGCTCCAAGTCTTGCTGACCCTCGGTCATTGAGAGTTCCTGTAGTGAATGCGATCGAGGCATGATATAGGCATTATGTGTTCAATCAAGTGACCAAGGCGCAGATCAGGCACTATGGCTCCGGATAATATTATGGCACGGATGGCTAAGAGATTTGTGCATCAATCGAAGGCAACAAATAGGCATTTTCTAAAGCGTTTCACCGCCGCATCGGTGTCCTTTCCAGATAACTTCTGTTCTACCTCCTTGCCTTCTGTAATAAACTGTTACCCTGCAATTGACGGTCCTAGTCTGATCTACGATAACGTTGTTTCTCGTTTTTAGCGACTCGCCATTGTGCTTTTGCTTGGCTTTCTCTCGTACCGGCCCGTCCGGGCTTTAGAACAATAAGCTTATGAATGCCTTCCCCACTTAGTTATTTTCAACCTTCAGCAAAATTCTTACCCACAAACTCAATATCGCCGCTCGACGAGCAGGAACTTGACGAGCTATCACCCACGACCCAGCCTGGGAATACTTCTGTTGTTACTAGAAGTGAGGTAGACCAACTATCATTTCGAGAAGAAAGTGACTCAGACGAGGAAGCCGGAGACCAAAACTTTCTGATGGGTGCCAAACCTCGAAATAAGAAAAACCAGACGTCAAAGGTTTTAAAGTCTGGAGATGAAATCAAAAAAGCCAGCCAAATTGAAATTTCCCTAGAGTCTACTGGCTCGAATCGCGAGGCCATATCTCTCGATGACCATGATCTTAAAACACCAACAACAGTGAACCACAGTTTCTTTCAACTACCAATGCGGGACAGGAGGAACTTTGGACTCTTAGTTCTACTCTATTTCCTACAGGGCGTTCCAATGGGGCTTGCATCGGGCAGTGTGCCATTTCTCTTGAAGCCACATATGAGCTATTCAGCACTTGGAGTATTCAGCCTTGCATCCTACCCATATTCATTAAAGTTACTATGGAGTCCTATTGTTGATGCATGCTGGTCTCCTAAACTTGGTCGAAGGAAGTCCTGGATAATGCCAATCCAACTTCTTTCTGGTATGGGAATGATATGGTTGGGCTCTCGGGTAAAAGGCATGATGGCGGAAGCAGAAGCAGGTAATGGCGATGGAATATGGAAATTCACCTATTGGTGGTTTTTTCTAGTGTTCATGTGCGCCACACAGGACATTGCCGTCGACGGATGGGCACTCACTCTACTCAGGCCGGAGAACATATCTTATGCCTCAACAGCCCAGACTGTCGGGTTAACTGCTGGTCATTTTATGTCATACACCGTATTCCTTGCATTCGAATCACCCGACTTCGCCAACCGCTGGTTTCGTAATCAACCTTCGCCGGAGGGATTGATGACACTACCCGGATATCTACGCTTCTGGGGCTGGATGTATATTATTGTAACGTTAGGTCTTGCAATTTTCAAAAAAGAAGAAAAAACCCGGAATGAAGATGGTATTTGGGATGTCTACAAAGTCATGTGGGGGATTCTTAAACTCAGAAATATCCAGACTATAATTATCATCCATCTAATTGCTAAGATTGGATTTCAGGCTAATGATGGGGTTACTAACCTTAAACTAATTGACAAAGGATTCACGCAGGAGGATATGGCCTTAACGGTATTAATTGATTTTCCATTCGAGATTGGTCTTGGATACTACGCTGGAAAATGGTCAACTACTTACACACCGCTACGTCTCTGGTGCTGGGGATTCGTGGGTCGCTTGATAGCAGCTATAATTGCACAGATTACTGTAGTAATGTTTCCATCTAATGGTGTCGGAACAATGTACCTACTCGTGGTAATTGCAGAACATATCTTTAGTACCTTCACAAGTACAGTCATGTTTGTAGCAGTTTCTACTTTCCATGCTCAAATTGCAGATCCTGCAATCGGTGGTACCTATATGACTTTACTGGCAACGTAGGCTTCTCCCTTCGATGATCTTCTCAATCGCTAATAATAGTTGTAGTGTCTCAAACTTAGGTGGAACATTTCCCCGCTTCTTCGTTTTAAAGTTAGTGGATCTCTTTACAGTTGCAACCTGTTCACCCTCATCACTTTCGAGCTCTCCCTCTTTCGTCCTACCCGACTCCTTACGCGGTCCGATTATAACTTCACCATTTCCCTGTGGACTTGCACAAGAAAAAGACCGCTGCATTCAGGGTGGTGGAACCTGTGCTATTGAAAGTGACGGCTACTATTCCATCAATGTTGCCTGTGTAATAATCGGCTTCTTGACTTTCTTCTTATATATCAAACCTGCTGCATTACGGTTACAAGCTCTGCCGTTGCGTGCTTGGAGAATGGTAAATTATGATACGGTATTTCACGATTGAGTTTGAACCAAAATAAAGAATTACATTCATTTTTTCATCGAAAAGACTGATTGATATATGTATATGTCGTGTTCATAAGGTAGAATATATTATTAGGGTTATTTTCCAATAAAAATTTCAATCAACCAATCAATCAATGCTAGAATTTTCATATTAACTACTTAAATTCATATTTAACATATCCTTGACTCGTGTGAAGACAAGTTAAAGGTGAGAAATCAAAATTACCGGGAATTTGGCCTTATGGTAAGCTGAAAATACAAAGGACGCTTGCTTCAGATAGAAGGTAGAACCCCCGCTAGTGAGTCGAATTTCTGCCATTACTACTCAAACATCCATGACAGTGCGAAATAAATACCAGTACAACTAGTCTCAGAGACTGAATCGAAGTTAGATGTGAACTACATAAGGATACACTCGCAGAAAAAGAGCAAATTACCGATTGTGTTTGTGTTTGTTGTGCTACTTAGGCCATAGAATATCCAGTATATTGGGCTCCTCTACGACCCAGGCCATACCTTGTTGATTGCTCCTATCCTCTTTTGTTACTCCATATATCATTAGTATATTGCCCGTGATGAATTGCTATTCAGCTCAGTATTTACCCGTGGAATTCAGCCATCTTTCCCACAAAATCTTCTACCAAAAAATAACAACAATAAATGGTAGCAACAGAAACTACTTACGCGGGAAAAAGTCTCGAAAAGCCCTGCAGACCCAGCCAGGCGTAGACACCGGGACCACATAAGGTGCGAATATTTATCTATATCTCTCTTCTTTGTAACATTAGAGGCCATCTTGATTCAATCCACAATCGTGGTATCGGGTGCTAGGTACGCTCCGGAAACTCATCGGATGGCTTTTTCTCTACCATCAAGGGTTGGTGATGAGTAGGGCTCCGACCCTACCATCTGATCTGATCGTGGTTAGCTTCATGATAGTGGTGATGGGGGGATATGCTTGGGGATGAAGACGATACAGACCGCGAAAGCGATGGGGAATCCTCATCGAAGTGAGTATGTTGTTACTCAATCTCGGCTCTGTAGACTCTATAGTGGGGGCTGGAGGTTCATAGCGGACATAACTGATAGGTGTTGAAAATAGTCCCCCTAGATGGCTATATTATGTACACAGGAAGGAACCAATCCGGTGAAAGCGGAGGACGAAGGCTAAACACCTGTCAAAGGTGTCCTCTACGACACCAGGAGTAAGCATGAGCGGGATACGGTAGAGCGAGGGGCACATGTGAATAAACATAGTGGTAGCCAGTGGCAAAGGGGGCGCAAACATGAACTGAGGATCGAGCGCCAGCATATGAAGGGTACCAAATAGGCACGGGTCGTAAGTACAAATAGTATATGGAAATTGTTAAACTGTCCTATGCAGCTATTGATGGTGACATGAATTAAGATGATGATTGTGATTGAGATAGATTTCTATATAGTTTATAATACATGATATGCTCAGGTTCATATACCTCGAGCCAAGCAACCAGATTATGTTCCTCCAGATCTAGATTCATCAGAATAATTACTTACTCAGTAAAATTCTCCTAGTCTCAGTTGTGTGTTTAGGAACTTAACTAGGTTTCTAGTAACTAGTCAATGATGTTTCTCCTATCACTGAGACATAGTCATGGTTGATACAACAGGTACAAACAATAAATCGTGTCTGTACATGACGTTGTGATATATTCATGATCGTCTGAACAATATCAGCTCATGAATGAATCATGTCTCTACATCACAAATAGAGCACGAGGTAGTAGTTTAGAAGGGGGAGGAAAACCGACAAGTCTATATAGCTTTCTATCGCGCACATAGCATCGCCGACAGTGAAGCACCGGACAGTCGTAAACCACCAGTCACATTCATATAACGTTTCATTGACATATTTGATCATCTGTGACCCCTACATTATTTTGCTAGCTAAGAACCTCAGCCTTACCTTCGAAAGCCACGTCGCCAAGCGGACCAGTAAAGCAATGCGCTTAGTGCAACACTTCCGATGGCTCACTCAGTGTACCCAGGGAACTAGGCCCGAGTTGGTGATGAATAAATCGATTTACTAAACTGTATGAGGAGAAAAGCTAACTCTAGCTACTACTAACAGGTATTTATAAGAGTTTATCCTCCTCGTGAATCTACAGACTAGTGACTTGTCCTTAGGCACAATACTTCTTACCCAGCTACGTATTTCAAGGTGTCACTAAGTTGTAATGACGTTTCAGCCTCCTTAGTGGTAGTGCCGTTTTGTTCAGCTTCATCTCCCCCCCATACAGCCTCATTGTTGTGACAAGATCGATGTGTGAAAGTACTTCAATTAGTCCTTAGAATATCAAGCTAAAGAGAGAATAAAGAGACTATGAAAGGCGGGGTATCTACCCCAAACTATATACAAAGAACGTGGGTGACATTATAAAATTGGCGGGGAATAGAGCCTTTGTGCCTCAGGCCACCCTCATCATCAGCATCGTGACGAATTGTCACAATTGTAAGAATTCTTAGTATCAGGCTTAGGTATCCACCTAAGCTCAAACAACAGTCAAACCGTAACAGAGTGGCTACCCACACACCCACTCGACTGCCTCTGTGTTTAAAGTGATGGTTCTGGGGCGTCCACCAACAGAGTGTTGTGAGCCTTTGTCACATTTATCAGTGGCACAGGCACAACAATCGAGCACGAAGCATCGCAACGCAATCCATCACATCGCATTCTACCTACGACATCTTACTGACAAATTCATCTTTCAATCACCCATGCCGCCCCAGTCCTCCGCAGAGGCTGGCCCCCCCTCCCCACTCAATGTTCGACGCGTCAAGACGTCAAAATGGTCCTTAACGGGCCACAACCGCCATCACAACCACCCACCCAACAATTTGTAGAGCCAATCTACGAGGCGAGTCATCGAAGCTCGCCCCACCAACAAACTCCGTCGCCTCAAATTGTCGCGATCTAATTCCTCGCCGAACAGGGCAGGATATTCCAGACGCGCTCTGCACAAGCAGAGCGTTTCATCATCGGGTTCTGCAACTGTTGGAACCAGTCACTGACAAGAGACTTCGAAAACTCTTTGATCAGGACTTACTGGCCCTTCAGGGCAAGATACTGGAAATTTTATGGGGCAACCTATCTCAAGCAGACGCCAACGCTCCCCCAAAGGCTGCAAGCGGCCATACTAACACATCTAACCCGGCTCAAGTCACAGAGCCTCCAAAACAAAGTCCTGCAAGCGTCACACGTCCAGTGCTGATCCTTGCCAGAGAAAAGAATAGACCGGCACCACAAAGGCCGGTAGCCACAACCGCAACTCTCCAGCCCAACCAGGGCTCAAACAAAACCAACAACAACGCTACAGAGAAATCTTGGACCGAGGTGTTGGGAAAAAGAAACAAGCCAGCAAACCAAATGGCTCCAAATTCAACACCCAAGACAGTGCCAGTGAGGCCCGTTTCCGCGCCGAAGCCTAAAGCTCCAGCAACAAACCCCCAGCGACCTGACGAGCGCGTATTTTTGCGCCTCAAACCTGACCACCCGTGGAGACATATGTCACCCTACTTCTTAAAGATTAGCCTAGCTAGCAAGCTGCGTCTGGCCAACTCGACAATCAAACAGGTCACTGTCGTGAACTCAGGGTTCGCAATACAAGCCGAAGTGGAAGGAGCTAGAGGTGCACTTCTCTCAGGAGGAGCCATATTAGATAGCTCAGAAATGAAATTGGAAGCCGCCTCCAACTGGATATCAGTCCTGGCACCGAATATCCCAGACAAGCTTTACACTCTGGAAGGGCCTACCATAGTGACACCAGAGATGGTAATAGAAGAAGCAGCTCTCAAAACAGGAGTTAGACCAACCTCAGCTCGTGCTTTGGCTACTAGCATGGCCAGGCCGTCAACGGACTGGGTGTTGCACTTCGCAACAGGAAAACCGAAACTTGGAGAAAGACTGTTTGAAGAAAGCGGGCGCCTTCACGAACTCCAGCGCAAGCTCAAAATTGCGCAATGCAACCGATGCTGGGGACACCACCCAACTAAAATTTGTTCACGAGCAGAGCGCTGCACCCGCTGTGGCTCAATTGAGCACAAAGCTACTGAGTGCAAACAGGTCGTTCCAAGGTGCATCAATTGCCACGGGCCACATGCTGCAAATGAGCCTAACTGTATGGCTAGGCCGACACGGGCTGGTGGGAAGACAGTGCAACGCACAAGAGACCAGCTGTCGGTGATCCGCGAGCAGGGTCAAAAAGAAAGGAATGCTTCGATCAGAGAGATGGAAGCAAAGCAGAAAGCCACCGAGGCTACTGCTGAAAACGAAAATACAAACGTTGCTCAATGCCCGTGAGGGACCACAACCCAACCGAGCTTCAAAAAACGGCAACAACAATCTCGTTCCTCTGCGCTAATCTGGGCAGAGGAGACCCGGCTACGGACATCATCCTGCAATCCGCTTGGGATTCAGGAACCGATGTCCTACTCATCCAGGAACCCTGGACTAAACACAAGGACGGCTTCTGGCTCACCAAGTCGCATCCCGGATTCGATAGGCATTTGCCTCCCCGTGTCGCTGCTAACTCTTCAAGGCCACGCTCCCTCATCTACACGCGAAAAGGGATCCATTGCCAACAGCAAGCAATCTGCGAGACATCACCAGATCTCACTGCAGTAACGGTAGAAGGAGTTACATTTGTCTCCGTCTACCGCGCTCCTGGAGCAGACCTTTTGCCGCAATTGTCATGGACACCATCTGGACCTACAGTAATTGGCGGAGATTTCAATGCTGTACATACGGACTGGCAGCCAATGGCCACTAGGCTACACGGCGACGGCCAGGTGCTCACCAAGTGGATGTTCGAGCAGGGTATGGACCTATCTTTCACACCGGGCGTCCCGACACACGACTTTGGAAACACACTCGACCTGGTCTGGTTTAACGCTGGTGCCCTTGCAGATGTCTCGACAGAACTTGACTCAACATCGGACCACAGAACGCTTGCAGGAGAC